TTGAGGGTCGCAGTGACTTTGACGCAAATCAGCACACGTGAATTCCAGTAAGATGTCGACAATATTCCGTTGTGCATGTGCATACACATAGTGCGAAGATGAGACTATAAATGCTCTGTGGACTGGTATGTGAGTCGAGAACTTGCAAGAGAGAAAAGACAGATATCTTCTGTTCGGATGTTTCAGCGCTGTGTTACGTGTACTGAGGACAGCATGTCAATTTGATCTATAAAATAAATGCTTCTTCTCCCGTCCTGGGGCAATCAGATGATCGACTGAAGGTGTCCTGATTTTTGAGATTCTACCATTGAAAGCCACCACACCACCACAACACAGAGTCTAGTATTCAGGTAGAAAGACTCAGTCTCACATCTCAAAAACCTTTAATTTAAAATGAGGGATCTGCAGTGAACAGCTAGGGCGTCTTCGGCAGGAACCTCTGCCGGAAGAAAACACAGTTTAATGACCACATCAACCTGGCGGAAGACGATTATGAATGTGTGAGTCACTAACCTGGTCTTAAAGTGCAGTCCATGCCCCAAAGACAAGGTAGATTCAAGCTGCAGAAAAGACACTGAGGACGCTGCTGAACCATTCAAGCCCCGAAGACTGAAAAAAAGGCAGAAGATCAGATCCAAGCAGACTATGAAAGGCAGGATAATCAAGAGGATGAAGCCAAGGAGAATCACAGGAGTCCGGGCCAGAAGACCAGAGATCGAAAGAGGTTAAGAAGGGAAATCCAGGACGGTGTCAGGATGCAGGTCCAGGTATGGTAAACAGGCTGAATCCAGCAGGGGCCCGAAGACAAGTCAGAAAAATAGATCAGAAAGGGAACAGGAAGGCTAAGAGGTCCAAAGGCAGAACTGGGCAGGATTAGGCAGTCAGAAACAATAATGCTCACTAAAAGACTCTAACCAAGGACTGGATTAAGCTGGCACTGATGACTGGAAGAAGGCAGGTTGAATAGAGATTGAAGCACGTGAAACAGATGAGCAGTAATGATAAAGTGGGTTGAACTAGGCAGGTGAATGAAATGAGTAATCAAGCCAGTCATCAGTGCCAAGATCATGACAAAATTATTAATTTGGTGTGGGTAACTGGATTTTAGACAGCTGGATTCAGGAATCCAACCTTTTATGTCAGAGACTAATAACCTAGAAAGAAAGTAGTTCAGTTATTCATTATTACAGCAAGAAAATTACAATTATACCCATTCAACTGAAAATAATTTATTTTTATTTAACCTTTTAATTAACTATGACCTGCAGTTCTTTTTATTTAATATAGTCATAATCTTCTGGTAAATTTGCATAAGTTTTTCAAAAAAGTCTTGACTTCAATTAACATCTATATTTTAGGTTAACAAACATAAATGTATATATTATATTCACTTATATCTTTTAAGCAATCAGTTTCCATTTTTTTTATAAGTAAGGTCAGCTTATTAGATTTTATTGTGTAGTAGAGAACGGTTAGCTGAAGCACAGAGGAATTAATTAAAAAAAGTTCTTCAAAACATTAGATCAATTTAATGAATCGCTTATTTGAATAAGAGTAGAAGTGGTTAAGTTTCAGAGTTTGGTAAACAATCTTAAACACCCTGATTTGACAGAAGCTGTTCCTTGATGGCATTAACTGGAGATTGTTGTATTACAATATCCATCCTGTAAGTTAAAATAAACTTCCCGACTTTCTAATGGATGGATTTTGTAAATCCCTTAAGAGGTTGATGAGAACATAAAACAATACCAATACCCAAAAGGCGGATGTAGCCTAGGACACCCAATAACTAAAGCAAGCAAGTAATATCGCTCATTCTGTATCTAAGGAATCTCTAATATATTGTGTTAATGTAAATTGCTCATCTTGACAACAGATGTTAGCATCAACATGAATGACACTTTGACTGAATTCAACACTTGTTTTGAGATGAAACATTTGAATTATAAACCAAGCACCTCTTATCCACCTCTATGTGTAATATTATACGGTTTCCTAACTTTCTTGTCTCTTGTCACCATGTGTGGAAACTTCCTTGTAATACTGTCAGTCATTTACTTTAAACAGATGCACACTCCTACTAACACTCTCATTCTGTCCCTGGCTGTGGCTGACATGTTGGTTGGCATGTTTGCTTTCCCTCTCAGGATGTTTTATTCTCTCAGTGCGTGTATGTATGATGTCGGTATATTTTGTAAGATAAGGGACAGCTTTGATATATTGTTCAGCCTATGCTCTATCATGCACCTGTGCTGCATTTCTGTGGACAGATATCACGCAGTGTGTCAGCCTTTAACATATAAATCTAAAATCAATGGCCGGGTTGTCTTCATCATGATCGCTGTGAGCTGGGGTGTTTCTGTGTTCGTTGCTATCACTGTTGTACAAACTAGATCTACCAATGATGACTGTCAGGACATGTGCTTTATTGACGTTATCATGGCAAACATTGTTGCACCTTTGCTGTCATTTTACCTTCCTATTCTCATAATGCTTTGCATTTACCTGAAGATATTTGTTGTTGCACAGAGACAGGTACGAAGCATCCAAGCAAAGATGAAGCCTGGAGCAACTGTCAGTAAGATGGAGAGAAAAGCCACCAAAACTCTGGCTATTGTTTTAGGAGTTTTTGTGTTTTGCTGGGCTCCTTTCTTTCTTTTCCTAACTTTTAGAACTGTTGGAAATAATCCAGCACCCGTTCATGTGATTGAAACAGTGGCTTGGCTTGGACTGTCAAACTCTACTCTGAATCCTTTTATCTATGGTTTCTTTTATAGCTGGTTCAGATCAGCCTTTAAAATTATTGTTTCTGGGAAAATCCTAAAAGGGCACTATATTAACCTGAAGTTGCATTGAATTTTAAGTTTTTTTTGTTTGTTTTGTTTTTCTTAATAAAATGAAATATATGTTTTTATGTATATTTATGTTTTGTAATAAATTATTAATCCAATGTCAGGATGAATCCAGAATTTGATAGAACATACTTGTCAAAATCTTTCTTTTAATTTAGGACTGAGTAGAGAATGCAGAATATGTTTTCTATTTTTCCCCCTGTCTACAAAAGGCATAATTTTCTTCTAATTGTGTTCCATCTGTATTTTCTCTTCCTTTGTACACCTTTGTTTTTGGCTACTACACAAAGATTAGATAATTAAA